GCGTTTTTTGTTTTCGTTTTATTTAACGTTTTTGAAAGGAAAAAGACTAGAAAAAAGAAAAAATAAAACGAACAAACATCTCGATCTTGATAAAAAAATAAAACCTAGAAATGAATAACATAGAGATAGGGCGAAATACAACGAAAAAAGATGAGAAAAAAACGAAAAAAAAAACACGGAAAAAACTAGAAAAACAAAACCAAAAAAAAAACGAAAAAAATAATGAAAAAAAAAACGAAAAACCTAATGCGCGCACACACACACACAATCAATCAATCAATCAATCAATCTTGATTGATTTTGATTGATTGATTGACTGATTGACTGATTGATTGAGTGAGTGAGTGAGTGAATGTGTGTGTGCGTGTATGTGTGTGAGAGAGAGAGAGAGAGGAGTACTTCGATTTATTCGTTGCGCCACGTAGCGGGCAACAGGTAAGTCTCCAAGCCGCGACTGACCTCTCTCTCTGTCTCACACACACACACACACACACAATCAATCAATCAATCAGTGAATCAATCAAGATCAAGATCTTGATTGATTGCATGATTGATTGATTATTTGATTGAGTGCTTGGTTTCTCTTTTTTTTTTTCGTTTTTTGTTTTCGTTTGTTTTTTTTTCGTTTTTTTTTTTCGTTTTTCTTTTTTCGTTTTTTTTTTGCGTTTTTTGTTTTCGTGTTTTTTATCGTTTTCGAAAGGAAAAAGACTAGGGAAAAAAAAAAATGAAACATCTCGATCTTAAAAAAAAAAAAAAAACTAGAAATGAATAACATAGAGATAGGGCGAAATACAACGAAAAAGACGAGAAAAAAACGAAAAACAAACACGAAAAAAACTAGAATAGTGAAAACAGTGGCCATAGACTGCTTCTCGTACACGCATCAACAGTGGCCATAGACTGCTTCTCGTACACGCATCAACAAAATAGAAAAAGAAAACGAAAAAAAAAACGAAAAAAAAAAACGAAAAAAGAAAACGAAAAAAAGAAAACGACCAGTATCGGTATCCTACCTGGCGTTCGGCGCCAGACTACAGATGGCATATCCTATCTAGCCTATATTACATCGCCAAGACAAGGTAAGTGCCCTCACATCATCATCATCATCATCATCATCAGACTCCCTTCCTACTCTTCTTCTCCTTCTCTGTCTTCTTCTCCTACTGCTTCCTCATCTTCTTCTTCTACTTCTTCCTCATCTTCTTTTACTTCTTCTCGTCTTCTTCTCCTTCTTCTTCTTCGTCTTTCTCCTCCTCGTGTGCCGTCTTCTTACTGCGCAGCCATCTCCATTTTCTCGCGCGTTCTTCTTCTGCTACTAACGCATAACCATCCCCCCCTTCGAGCATCCACCCCTGCTCACGCTCCGATCTCCCATCTGGGCCATCTCCACTCGCGCTCGTCTTTTCTCCTCGGTGCGACCATCTTCTCTCTCTCTTATCCACACACACACACACGTACGGACGCACGCATACACACACATACACACGCACGTACACACGCATGTGTAGAAATGAATCTTTCCACATTTTAGTGGTAGATTCATTTTATTTATTTATTTATTTATGTATAATGTATATATATTTTTTTATCGATGGAAGTACCATGAGGCAAACTGTGTAATCGCGGACTTACCTTTTCTCATTCGCCCGCTCCGTCGTCGTCGTCGTTCGAGTCGTCAGTCCGTCGGAGTCATCGTCGCAGTCCTTTTCTCTCTTCTTCTTTTCTCCTCCTACTCCTCCTTCTCATTCCACTTCTCCCTCTAAATGATAAGGTTCAATGAACTTTCTTCAGCACCCCCAGCGGCAAGGCCGAGATCACCGCGATCCAAACACTTCACCGGACCATTCAATCGGTAGGAGCGACGGAGGTGTGCAGCGCGAGCTGATGACTCGTGCTTACTAGGCATTCCTCATTCAAGATCGATAATTATAGCAATCTATCCCGTCGCGGCTGCGCCTCCCTTCCCTCCGCTCGCGCTACCTCCTCGCACGTCCCCTGCTTCCTCTCTCCTTCTTCTTCTTCTTTTTCTTCTTCTACTTCTTCTTTCTTCGCTCTTTATTTTGTCGCTTTCTTCTTCCTTTGCGCGGTCTCCCGCTTTCCTCCGCGCGGTCTTCTTTACTTGCTCCCTGCGCACCATTCTCGCTGCTCCCCGCGCGATATCTCTATAGCTCCCCGCTCCTTCGCCCGTGTGGAATCCCCTTCCGCTGCTAAGCTGCTGAGCAGTCGCTGCATCGCCCGTCGAGCATGTGGCCAACGTACACAGACTAAAGTCTGTTATGTCGGTTTCGGAGTCGTGCAGAATTCGTGACAACGAATCTGCCCGTTTATCGGGCCCAGATTCACTAAAGTGGATCCGTGGAGAGTAGCTACAGGAACAAAGAAAATAAAATAATAATAATAATAATAGGGGAATATTTTTGAAATGCCCCCGAAGTTTGCGTTTATTTGCGGCATGCCCCTGTGAAGGCCGACTTACCCTGTGGTGCCCCTCGGGCCTCTG